TTATTATGTTTTACAGATTAAGATGAAAATACGGCAGAGAGAGTTCAGGTGATTTTGGCACAATCAAACTAGAAAGGCTCATCATGAACTCAGGGCCTTGCCCCCTCTTGCCCAGACAGCGACAGAAAGCGCTATCTTGTCGAACCCACCAAGACTTTCGGAGAATATGTAGACTCCCCAACACTGCAGCCTTCTGCAGTAACCAGAATGTCAGAAGGGCGGTGCTCCCGGTGGAGAACCCGGGCATTCTCCTGATCTGCGCCAAGAGATCAGGAGGTACCAAACCAAGGGCACCGAGAACAATGGGGAGCCTGACGACAGTGTGCTTGGGATGCATGCGAGATATTTAAAAAGCGAGGTCCGCATATTTAGCATGCTTTTCACATTGCTGTCCAAAGGGACAGAAAATTCAATACATATATTAACATAAATACATTCATTGGCTTTGTCAAAAAGGACAAGATCAGGTTTGCTGTCTGGAATTCTTCTGAGGAATTCTTCTGAGGCCTATTCCAAAGAAGTTTAAAGCCGTCATTTTCCATGAGGCCCTGGACATGTTCAGGGTCGTACCATGGATGGACCGCAAAGCCACAGGCATGGCGAAGATGATAGTAGAAACAACGATCCATGCCATCATGTCTTTTAAGATATGCTGTTTGTTTCGAAGAAGGGCATCCACTGACAATGTGTTGGACAGTCTCTGTGAATGCATTACACAGTCGGCGTTTCATGTTAATATTATCTTTAAGAATCACATTTAGGTGATTGCGAGTGGGAAGTGACTGGTCCTGGGCAGCAAAAAGGAAGTCCTCAGTTTCACATTTTAGACCAGGCGACTTCATCCAGGTGAAGGAGTCGGTGGGATTGCTATTCTGTTCCACACACTGCATGTACACTCGATGCAATGGCTTCTCAGAAAGCTTCTCCACAAATAACCGACTCTGAGAAGACTTGGTGAAGGACTTCACCTGGTATACTCCCATCGCTGTACCGCCCAGCAGTACATTGCCATCAACTAAATCAACCTCAAACTTCCGATTCTGTCCAACAAAATAGCTGTGGAATTCCTTGCTTTCATCATGAGTCCTGACATGGATCACCAGAGGATCATCCGGTAAAAACATATGTACAAAAGCACACTAAAATTCTATCATGAAGAGCCTCCACATTAATCAAACACCGGCCTCCAGAATTGATTGCACATATAAACGATTGAGAGAGGAACGAGGGAGGTGGGCTCTGTTATTAGACATGATCCTTCTGGTCAAGTGGTCAAGACTCTGGATGTCTTGTTTTGTCCAATCAACTACTCCAAATAAATTGGAAAGGACTGGCACATCAAAAGTATTGGTGGCTTTGACCTTGTTTCGAGCATTTAGCTCTGAGCTCCAGATGTTCTTTAACCGAGATTTGTACTCAGCCCGAAGTTAGTCTTGAATCTGGGCATTCTGGAGCTATGTCTCGAACTTGCATTTCAAGATAGGTGTAGGACTGATCTTCCACAAGATGCTCAATAACTCCTCTCCCTTGTAACTTGACCCATCCATCATTAGTTACCTTGCCACGTTTCAAATGAAAAGAATTCATTTGTCGAGTCCAAATGTCATGCCAGCATCATTAGAAAATGACTCGACAAGGAGAACCTGTTCTTTCAAATTGGTATATCCTTTGGCAAGGAGCTCGATGTCATCCATATAAAGGAGATGAGGAGATGGGGATCTGTACTGAGGAGGTCCGGGATGGTAACCCTCCTCTCTATTGAGCAGAAAGATCAAAGGATTTAGAGACAAACAAAAAAGCCAAACACTTAAGGAGTCCCCCTTGAAAATTCCCTTTCTGATTGGAATAGATTCCGAAGTCTACACCTGCCCTTGCGAGTGTATCTCAAGATGAGTCGATCAGCAACTCATTAAAGACTTGAGTAAATCAAGTAGTCGCTCAGGGAGGTCGGTACAATGAAGAGACTTCAGAAGCCATTCATGAGAGACACAGTCGTATGCTTTTTGTAGTCAATCCAGCACATGGAAATGTTACGGTGATATGTTTTAGCCTCTTCCAAAATCATTTTTTGTACAAGAAGTTGATCCTAGCACCCCCACCTCTTCTTCTTTTTATTTTTATTATCAACTTACTATTGCGTTTTTCATTTAAGTTGTAAAACGAAGAAAATCATTTTGGGGACAGACTCGTGGAAATTGTAACTCAAACATATGTTGTTGTTTTTCCTACGTGACAGAAAGGCCTTAAGAACAGTCACTATGAGGACCAAGACAATTATGACCATGGCAGTGGTGCTTGTATTTGCCTGTTTGTGGCAAATGGGGGACACCCAGCTAAGTGAGTGCAACTTAATTGTGTACATCTCTGACCAAATGCAAAACTTGAAGAAATACATTCCGTCGGTCGATTTATGTATGACTATGCACCTGATGTGAAGAAAGCCATGAAATATTTGTCGTTTGATTCGAGAATGATCCCGTTTTCATTTCACTGCCATAATAACAAGACGACATTGCTATAAAAGATGATTGTTTAACTTTGTACTTATGCCTGCAAAAACGTGTAGTATGTGTAATATAGAAAATGAATTCGTTTAAACGTCATATCTTTTCTTCTTGGTGTGATACTGATGCTATAGGAAATGTGTTTGGTGTGCTGCAAGGAGTCTGTTAACGTCCGCTTGCTGTCATGATAATGTCACATTTTGGGGTCGCTCGAATTGAGTTAGTCATTATCTTTGGTGCTTTGGTGCTTTGCTCATTACTCCTGTTTACAAAGGCATATTTCTGTTTGTTTCGATTTCTATCCTCACTAACAAACACACACTGTCTCTTCGTTGTTGTTAAATGACAATAAACACCTGACTGTCTTCTTAGTTTTGTTCACTTTGTGTAATGAGCAGAAGGACGTGTAATATTAAATGAGCAGGTTTACATGAAAAAGTGAGTGAGTATGGTTTCAGAGAGTGATTGCGGTCTTACGCCACTTCCAGCAATATTCCAGCAATATTATGCTGGTGTACAACAGAAATGGGCGACACATATTGTTCATTTGAGGGGAATCGAACCCAGGTCCTCGACGTGATTAGCGAACGCGTCCACCACAAGGCTGAACCACCGCCCTTACGTAAAAGATGATGGATTCAAATATTAGAAATCTAATCATAAATAAAAACCAATTTGGAGCCGTTAGGTGTTTGCTTAAATTTTGTCATTCACTTAAAATTATTAATAGTGTTAATTTATGTTTTGGTTATTCAAATTCTTCATGCGCATATCTGCACAAGGAACTCAAATTCAAAAGATTTATTCTTGTTTTCAAATTTACAGTTTAAATGCTGCAAGTAAGCAAATACGCAGCTTAATGCATTCACACCTTATACAGGTAACCCAGATCATGTCCTTGTTTCCACTACCTCATATACGGTTGGAAAATACAATGCTAAATACGAGATCACACACGCACACCACACGTACAATGTACATGGACGTGCAAACGCACGTATGCTCTCACATACAAGATAAAGTTAAACACTAATTGTAGCCTTTCCACATTCCATAAAATCATGCAGTTATTCAATATTTTAAATACACATATGTTTGATATGCATTCAGAAGTTGGTAGGGTAATACAACACACTTGATATGGATGTGCAGCTTCAATACTATTTACAATTCTTTTTTGGCACAAAACATCTGATTGTTGTAAGGTGGGGGGGGGGGGAGTTGTGGCTCATATCCGCCATTCTGTTTTTATGACGTAACATAGGTGTGACCTTTGTGTGACCTTATCGACTGTTGAACCCCACCCTCCTTTGGGAGTCTCCAGGTGTGTTTGTGTGACCTTTAGGTTCACCTTAGTGGTCTGTGATTATTATTCAATTATCTTATGAGTGGTATTAGTTTGCTCGAGTGTTCACACAGCAAAATCTCTTTTCAACGTAGAATTAATATCACACTATGAGGGGAATTTAGCTGCTATTTATTAGGCCAAAAGTTAGATCAGAGCGCATTTTGTTAAATCAAAGGTATCTCTAGCCGGTTTAAAATACGCTGTCATTTGGTACACAAGGACCAACTCCGAAGTTCTGAGTATTTATTTTTGTAGCTGTTAAAATTCATGCGCCATGCGCCACCGTATATGATATGCGTGAATGGGGCGCTGTCTATGCACTACTGTGAGTACTACTACTAACAGCTGAAACGCTTGCTCGCTGAGCCGTAACTGAAGAGACATGTGACAGCTGTGATTGGACGAAATCGTGTAAGGTGTTATGTTTGTTAAAAGCACCTCCATCCAAGCATTAAAACTGACCACCATTTTAAGTATTTAATGCTTTCATTTGTATCACTTATGCTTATGCGTGTACAGATATGTTCAAGTAGGTGACAGTTTGTGCCGACCTGGGAGGGTTGATGTGTTTAGCTTCCTGTGTGTGGCTTCCTGTGCTCGCAAAGTTAGCCGGTTCAAGTTGACCAGAAATTGTTTTATTGCAATTTAAAGGTCAGACTGTAATCATGTGTACATGGAATGGCTGTCGATAATTTCAGCGTGGTGGCGAATGTAGTGTCACAAATGGTCAGCTTAAGTTGTTTAAAGTTCAGACTGTAATCATGTGTACATGGAATGGTTGTTGATCATTTTCAGGATGATGTTGAATGTATAGTCACAAGTGGTCAGCTCCGTTATGTAGGGAGAGAAGTGTCTGACCGGAATTAAAGACAGGAAATGGTAAGCAGTTGAGGACTGATGGTCACTGAATATCTCAAGTAGTTTGGTTTTACAGTGATGAAATGATTTAGCATTTGTCATATACATGTATATAACTGAATAAGAAAACAAACCTACATGTGTTCTCCTGTAAAACTTTCCAGTGCTTTCACTCAAAATTTTAAAGCTGAACTTTACTCTCAAACTGCAAACATCCAAACACCCATCCATGAATACTATATATAACACTTTTTTGACATCATGTGACACAAAGGTTACTCACATGCCTAATGAAAGCCGAGATTATCAAGAAACCACAAACCTCCTTTGACCGTGTTAGAGCTTTATTAGATACCCTTCCCCGGCGGGAGCCAGAAGCCTACACCCTCTTCTGTAAAGCTTTGGAGGAATGTGGAGAGATACAGGCTATGACATTGTTGGGACTAGAGACAGACAAGACAGAGCTACAGGATCCTCGTTGTCATATAGACTTAGACAATGACGTATTTGTGACGTCCAAGATGTGGAATGGAGAACTAGGAATTCATGTAAGGAAGTACGATGTATATCCTAGTGGAAGAAGTTATCCTGCCAAACGTGGTATTGTCCTGAGTTTGAAACATTGGCTGGAACTTAGTGGCGTCCATTTCAAGCTTCAGGAGGCCATCAATCAAGGAAGGACCCATGATTATGCTCATGTGGGAGCCAATATGTATGCTACTTTGGATCCATCGACAGTGGTAGAATGACCAGAAAAAGTGGTAGAGTGATACCTACTAACAAATGTATTCTGTTGTCCATAGATCAGTGGGAAAAGCTGGTAGATTGTGTAAGAGTCATGTTTGACTTTGTGCCAGAACTGAAAGAGATGGTTCCCTGTCTCCTTCAGGAACATCATCAAAACCAGATCGGAGCTTTAATGTGTTCCTTCTGTAACCCTAGTGACTACAGTCACTGGGTGTAAAGCCATTCTTGGTTTAGACACTGTACTGTGCGGACATGTGACCACTGCTCTGGGATATCATGGATGTATGTGGACATTACCCACTCGACAAGACACTCGACTGCTGTGCAATCAGTACTGAATGGACTTCATTCCAGAAAAGACTCGATTCGTTTAATGACTGGCCAGTGCAGATGAAACAGAGTCCTAGTTGCATGACCCAGGCAGGATTTGTGTACTTAATCAGAGGGGACACTTGCAAGTGTTTTCAATGTGATCTCGTTCTCAAGAACTGGGAAGTAGATGACGACCCCTGGGTCGAACATGAAAAATGGTCTTCAGACTCTCCGTAATTGGCCCTGGTGGGAGTACCTCAGAAAAATATTGTCCTGCAGGGGTAGTCATGTGGATTTGCAACTGAGAGTGTGATGTAAAATGTGTGAATATTAGAAAGAAATCAATGTTAAGAGTACATCTGCATTGGTTGTCTATGTATAGTCTTTTGTCGATGTATAAATAGAGGTTTACTCAAATACTAATCTCATTGAGATCCCAACCGTGATAAGAGCTTGTTTGCTAGAATTATTATGGATAGGTACATGTTGAAACATTACGAATTTTAAGGTTCATGTTAATGTTTCAAGACATTGAGGAGATTCGACAAGACATCTTAGAAATGAACAGAGAACAGATTCTTCCCGTCAATGGTATTATCAATAGGTTATTAAAGGGAAGATTACCAGTGAATCAATATGAAAGGCGTCGTTTTCTGAGGGAAAAATGATAGAAATAACTATCTAGCTGTGTTACGAAGATTAGTTCACCCCATTTTGGACGACAGACAGTATGTGGAAGAGTCTTTTTGCCAGTTACATGCCTAATGTAGCATTTGTTTTGAAACCACCGTTTGTCAATGCACTTTAGAGATGAGGCCATTCAAAATGCTTGGTTGTTTGATAGAGCATTGGCTTAGTACATCTGGTACACCCGTCTTAGGTTAAGTTTGTCAATCCGGGGAAAGAGCATGTATGACCATCCTGGCAGTGATGTTGAAAGCTACTCCAAGCCATGAAAGGTCAATTCAAACCGTAGATATCTATACATAACAGGCCACGAGGGCTATCTAGCTTCATTTAGCCGTGGACCAGTGACAGTGACACATTACCTCAAGTCGCTCCCGTTTTCATCATGAATAATCCACAATACAAACTCTTCGTACCCAATGCTGATAAATGGACACGGTTTTACATACTAAGGGCTGAAGGGAAAGGAGATCCTTATCATTCTAAAATGCGTGGAGGAGAATAATCTGCCATGATGTCTGTCGATCGATATTTGGAACTGCATGACCAAGAGTGGAAGAAACAAAAAGAACCAGAAACCTCAGAGCAACCTAAGATTAATTTTGATACCCCTACTCAACACGTGGTCGAATAGGCCAAGGCTGTTATTCAGATGCAGAAGAAAGGGGGATCTAAAGCTGGAAGTTCCTCCCAGATTCCCATGAAGAAACGGAAGACGACCTTTTAGATAAAAGCAGCCTGTAGACATTGTTCCCTAACATTTAGACTCGGACCACCATGCAGTCAACAACGTGTCCCGTGTGCAATTTCATTTTTTCCAGAAGGGATGCCATGCTTAGACATCTCAGGAATCAACACCACCACAACCACAAGCACCTCCTCCTCCTCCTCCACCACCACCACCATCACCACCACAACCATCACCTATGATGCAACCAGTGCAACCACATTCATGAGAAAGTACTACCCAGTCATTGGAAGAATTTAGACTAATACTCCCATTTACCATGATCGTCTCAAGGCCCACCTCAACTCTGTGGCTTCCTGTACATACTATTTATACCTCTGTAACTATTCACTGTCATTCACCTGATGAAGGGGCAAGTATGAGCCCAGAAACGTCGTGTGTAAATAGTTAAGAAGTTGCACATCCATAGCAAGTGTCTTAAATACACGTTGATCAGCTAACAGTGCAAACATAATAAGATTTATCAGATTTAAGAGACGTCCCTGGTGCTAAAACATCTATCTTATCTGTAGTGTTTTCGTCCATGTCATTTGGCCAACACAGGACACAACGTCAAGCTGCCTCTGTCGTTTATTACCAGCCGACCATTGAGGGATACAGACGCGAGCGTGCCATACGCATAAACTGCACGTGTTTTTACGGCATACGGGGAATGCGGTGGCAAAGTAACGGAGGCCAGGTTGCTACAAGAAACAATATGGTTGACAGCAGATATATAACAAACAAAACTGTATATTCTACATTAACATTCCCAGGGGCGTAGCTTCCATTATGAAAAAAAGCCCGGGCTTACACATGATTGTTGCCAATAAGGTTGGGTAAGCCCTCAATTCTATCTAAATATAAAGCCTTGCACCCTATCGGGCTTACACGAAAAAAAATTGGCTTGCTACGCGCCTGATTCCATAATATTTCAGTAAAGGACAATTAAGTATGTGTTTTTTTAATATAGTGTAACGTACGTAAATTGCTTCAGTGGTGTTGATTGCTGAGTGCTCAGTACCATGACATTAATGCCAGTCATATTCTCAATATTATAAGTGTGTATGGCC